CAATTCTTGATCCTCAACGAGTTTAATAAAATTCGCCACCACGTCGCAGTTTACTTGGTTCCATAAACCACAACACGTTTGTGTTTTTAAAGTTAAGAAAAAATCCCAACACGACGTCAATATAACATAGTAAGAGCCTAGAGAGACCAAAGCTTGGCCTTTAACTAAAATAGCAGCAGCAACAGTCGTCGCCTGATTCAAGGAAACCGCCGCCGCCAAACGCTTAAAACCAAACCAACAAGAGCTATCTAGACCTCGACCAACCCCCCAAACAGATCCGAAAATGCCCGTTCAATCACCTATTGAAATTAGCAATCGTGTCATTGAACATATCGATGATATTGATCCACTTGAATATCATGGCCATTGGGAACCTGTGGGTATTGCTCGCATCCACAATACCGGCACTTCGGCCATGGTAACATTTAGTAAACGCAAGGAACAACCCTATCTACTGGGTGGTTGTTTGGGCGATCAAAAATATATCTTTGAACAGTTGCATTTCCATTGGGCCGACACCGATGAATCGGGCTGTGAACACACTCTGGAGGGTATGAAGTACTCCATGGAAGCCCATGCGGTTCACTACAATTCAAAGTACAAAGATTTCTCAGAGGCGAAAAATAAGCCAGACGGCTTGGCTGTTGTGGCATTCTTTATACAGGCATGTGGTGAGAAGGATTGCCCGGAATTTAAGAAAATCACCGAGGGTATACGAATTGTACAAAAAATCCATACCTCAGCATCTGTTGATTCAGGTATGATACAAAAACTAAATATTTAATTAAATTTGGAATTTAAGGAAATCTAAATTTGGTTTTGTTTTATTTTTCAGATTGCCTTTCGTGGATTGGTTTACAGGAGTTAAGCAAACATTATTACACCTATAAAGGATCTCTAACAACAGCACCCTACTTTGAAAGTGTTACATGGATTATCTATCGAACACCCATATATGTATCCAAAGGACAGGTATGCAAACGTCGTCACGGTCAATATTATTTTAAATGTCAGTGTGTCGGGCGGGGTGGGGTGGATATGTTGGTGTGTGGTTTGGAAGCCAGCTGTTATTGTCTACTGACATTCCCAGGACTATTGCGATTTGTAATGCAAATCTAACCCATCGATTTTATGACAATTGTCAAGGTCTCACTTGTTATGAATAGATAATTTTTCAAGAAGAAACAATGGCATGGATTTTTATACCCTTCACCACACTGTGGTACAGGGTATTATGTCTTTGTGCATATGTTTGTAACAGGCAAAAGGAAACGAGATAGATCCATGGTTCCTTTTGAGAATATGCATAGAATTACTTTCTGAGTCGATTTATGCATGTCCGTCTGTCCATGTTAAACAAAGTGCAGGTCGCATTTATTATCCGAATGAGATGAAATTTGGCACAGATCATTTATTTAGCCCGAGGACGAATCCTATTGAAATTGGGAAAAATCGGTTCAAATTTAGATATAGCTCCCATATATATTTCGTCCGATCTTTAGCAAGTGGTGCACCAAAGAGTCAAATTTAAGCGGATTAGCACGAAATATTTCACAACGTACTGAATATAGGATAGACTAACGTGTGCCAAGTTTTATTGAAATCGGTTCAGATTTAGATATGGCTCCCATATATATGTTCGTCCGATTTTTCGCAAATGGTGCACCAAAGAGTCAAATTTAGACCTAACGCCACTAAATTTTGCACAACGTATTGAAGTTAGGATAGAATAACATGTGCCAAGATTTATTGAAATCGATTCAGATTTAGATATAGCTCCCATATATATGCTCGTCCGATTTTTCGCAAATGCTGCACCAAAGCGTCAGATTTAGGCCTATTGTCACGATTTGGCTGTAATTTGGTATTTTGAGTATTCATTGACTAACAAACCTTCCTAACAAAAATAATCAATTTTGGCCCAAGTTTCGTGGTAGCCTCCATGTAAAGGTGTCCCTAATTTTCGATATTTTGCGGATTTTAAACACATTTTTCAACGAGATGGCTGTAATTTGGTATTTTTAGTTCCCATTGGGTAGTAAAGTATTCCACCACAAGTTATCAATATTGGTCCAAGTCGAAGGGTAGCCTCCATGTAAATGTGCCCCTTCTTTTACGTATTTTGAGAATTTCGTACCAGTTTTTCAAACGAATTGTCTGTAATTTGATATTTTGTATTCGCATTGGGTATCACATCTTCCTACTAAAAATTATAAAGATTGGCCCAAATTTCGTGGTGGTCTCCATGTAAAGGTATCTCCAATTTTCGATATTTTGAGGATTTTTTACACTTTTCTTTACCGAATTGGCTGTAATTTGGTGTTTTGGGTATTTATTGGCTAACAAACCTTCCAACCAAAAATACTCAATTTTAGTCCACACATCCACACATTTTCAACCGAATTGGCTGCAATTTCACATTTTGGGTTCGCTTTGGGTAGTAAAGTAACCCACCAATGATAATGAATTTTGGCCCAAGTTTTGTGGTAGCCCCCATTTAACTCTACCGTCAATTTTCTGAATTGTATTTAGTATTTATGCGTTCTCCTTCTTTTTTCTTTCTTGCAGGTTCAAGTTTTTCGCAATCTCCAATCATGTCCCAAGGATGAAACTAAAAAAATCGTCAACAATTATCGTGAAATACAAAAGCCTAGCAACAATCCAGAAATTATTTTCGCACGCAATGTCAAACCAAAATCAAAATTATGATCTAATCATTATATCCCACAAATCCAGAAGCTAAGCTGCATTCTAAAACTAATCATAAACAACAACATTTTCTCTAACCTCAACATAGATTTTTGGTTTTTGTTTTAACGAAATTTGTCTCTCGCCCTAAGATGTTTGAAATTAGAAAAAAACAAGAAAAAGTGAAAAGAATACCTAAAGTATTTTTGTTTTATGTAAATGTATATGAACTTAGTACGTAGTGTGTTTTTTTATAGTCAGTCAATACCAATTCATAAATTTATTTCTGTTTTTTCCTTTTTGTAACTCCTAGAATTTATGTTGATACTACTTGGTTGTGTTACGGCAATATGTTTAGTTTATTTATGTATATCGACACACTTTGTTTATTAATTATAACACTATTCTATTTTTTGTTAACTTGTTTTGTTTTCACCTTCCCTTTTGTCCAACAACATTTGTTCTTTGTTATGTTGATGATGATGGTGCAAACAATAGAAGAGAATAATTTTAATTTCGAAAGAATATTGAAACGCTAATTATAAACAATTATTAAGTGCACTTTAAAAGGCAATCGAAACAAAAAAAACAACAAAAACACATTCACACTCAAACATGAGGACATTCCACATACCTCTTCTATACGTGTATACTCCCCTCCCTCGAAAAGAAAGAGATCACAATCATGATATTTCATAGAAATATGCTGAGCTCTTTTCTTCGTTTCAGAGTCCCTCTCACCCCTTTTCTTAAGATTACCTATTATTATTATTACATGTATTTATAAACATTTAATTATTTAAATAATTTTTTATATATATAATTAAAATAATAAACGCGAATAAATGAGGAATGAATGACAAATTAATGGGTGTTTTATATTCTTAAAATTTTTATAACAATTATTTTTTAAGGCGTAGATTTCTTAAAAATATTTTTTCAAGATAAAAGTGCTATCCAGCGTACTGGATAGTCAGTCGTGAACGACTGAAGCCAATGGCCAATGACATTATTGGACCATACTAATGCGGCTTCAGACCTGGCAAATCCAGTATCGACCAGATTTTCACTCTGCGCCAAATCCTGGAAAAAAATGACACTCTGTACACCAAACAACACATGTTACTCGCCTACGCCGATGACATCGACATAATGGGTCGAACACTGAGAGCGGTAACAGCCACCTTTGAAAAAATTGAGAAGGAGTCTGCCAATGTGGGTCCGGGACAGTAAATGGCGAGAAGACCAAGCTGATGGTATCAACGTACAAGACGTCCAGTAGACTCGGACCAACGGTGGAACTTGAAAACTACAGCTTCGAGGTAGTCAATGATTTTATATACCTTGGTACCGCCATAAACAAAACGATTGACATCAGTTTTGAAATTCGAAGAAGGATAGTGATGGCCAACAGATGTTACTATGGTCTGAGCAAACATAGTAACATCTGTTGGTCCCGCCAGAACAAACTCACACTCTACAGGACGCTGATACTATCCGTGCTGTTATATGGATCTGAAGCATGGGTACTTGCGCAAGCAAATGAGGCAGCTCTTGGAGTGTTTGAGAGAAAAATTCTCCGAAAGATCTATGGGCCGATATGCGCTGACGGTGAATATCGCCGTCAAATGAACCATGAGTTGTACCAGCTATTTTCGGACATCGGCTGCAGCGGCGACTACGTTGGCTAGGTCAAATTGTGAGAATGGATGAAGATGCCCCAGCCCAGAAGGCATATAAAAGCGAACCAGCTGATGGTTCAAGCAGAAGGGGAAGGCCACGAATAAGATGGAAAGACCAAGTGGAAGACAACATTGCCGAATATGTTCTTTCAAATTGGAAAAACTGCGAAAAAGACCGACGTGTCGGGAAATCTTGTTTAAGCTTGACTTATGGAACGAAAGTTCTGTCACAAGCCAGTCGGTCTTGTGCGCATCTCCACCAATATGAAATACCAAGTTCCAAGATGTTGTTTTCTAATTGGTCTTTCCATCTAATTCGTGGCCTTCCCTTTTTACGGGAACCATCAGCTGGTTTGCTTTTATATGCCTTTTGAGCTAGGAGGGGTTTTCCGAGTGTGGGCAACTAACCCGACGCCTCAACCTATACATTATAAGCCTGGGACCAAGATAAGCCTGGACTTCGCCATGTTAAAGCCGATCAGAGCCGTTGCTTGCTATCTATCATCCCCTACGTCACCCCTCAAAATAGGTATGGATTTTTTAAAAATATTTTTCAAGGTCTCAATATATTTTTTTTAATATTTTTGCAAGTTTTTTTATTTTATTTAATTTCTAATTTTTGTAAAATTTTTAATAAATCTCGGAGCTTTCAATGACATTTACCAAGTCCTCTAAAAAGTTACACAGCAAAGAATATGTTTGCAGATACAAGGTGTCATAAAATGATTTTGAATTCCTGAGCTGCTTTTCCAAAAAGTCGATTTTCATGGCATCATTGCTTGAGGTCGACAATCGGTTATTTGAATCTCCCGAACCATTTTTATTTGAAATTTCCAAAGCCTTAAGAAATCCATCTTTCAAACTATCTCTGAGATTTTCCCATTCTTCAATGAATTTACCGATCATAGCCCTGACACACAGTAAACTGGTTTGAGTTCTTCGCGTTTCGTATACTATTTCAGAATTTTTAGGCGATGCTCGCCGCAGCGCCATTAAGAGAGAAGATAGCTCATTGAAATATAAAACACGTTTTTCACGATCGTCCAAATTACAAACAGCGTTCTTCAGGGTCTCCACTTTCAAGTTCCATAATTTGTCGCGTGGCTTTTTAACACGGCTGTAAAGCTCTTTCATTGTGTCCAAATCATGATACCTCTCACATTTATAACCAGGATTTAAATTTTCAAATATTTCCAATTCTGTGAGCGGTCTTTGATATGGGCAGGGGTAGTAGGAAGGAGGTACTGCAGCAGGCGATAGATCACCAAGGATATGGGTTAATTTACGCATCATTTTCATATTCGATTTACCAATTACGTCCGATTGTAACTCCTCAAGCTTCTTAACATATTCCGCATGGGGTTCACAGTTGCCGCTGAGTTTCAAAATAATACCCTGCGTTTTGGTTTTGAAAAATCCAGGATCCACTTTCAATTGCCATTTACTTTTAATTAAAGCCACCTTGCGGGGTCGATATAAAACCGAAATTTCCTTGATTTCACCCCGACACAGACGAAATGGGCGATTGTCGAACACAAATTCATTGTCCATGGATTTCAATAAGGCTGCATTGTTTTTGTAATAACAACAGTGAAGCCATTTAAAATTTAATATCTTCTGGCCCAGATTTTGCATAACCAAGACCTTTTTCACTTCCTCCTCAAAGGGATGGCTGTGGAAGTTTACTTCAATCTCCATAGATTTGTTTTGTTTTCCGTCATAATTCTCCAAAATATAAATTTGGTCATTAATTTTGAAACCATATTCAATGGGTTTTGACGGAATTGGTTCTTCTTCCTGAGGGCATGGCCTATTGAGAACTTCACAATCCTCTTTGGACTCGGAGGATATTTCACAGATTTTTGCCTCGGGCAGCAATAATTGAATTTTGGAATTATGTTGTAAACCACCCTGTGGCGACTTTATGAGGCCTTTACCTACAATTTGTAGATTTTCAATATCCGGATAAAATTCTACGACACGTTCTATATTTTCACGATGTTGCTCAATTCGTCTCTCCAAATGTTTGGAGCTCAACCACTTACTCGGATACTTCTCGGTACAGTCCTCCTTACCCAATATCTCCTGTCTTGTTACCTTGGGTAAACCACAAATTTCCAATTTCGTAGTCTTCTCCCTTTCCGCTTTGGGTAGAGTTTCCTCAATCTCCATTATAGTTTGACATGTGGTCGGTTCGCATTTTGCGGGCAAAGTGTTGATTTTCCTCGTACATAACCTCTCAGGATCTAAACGTTCAGCATAATCAAATATTCTCTTAATGGTTTGTTTATCCCGATCATCGATTGTGGTGGCATGATTATTGCAAAGTACCACATCCTTGTAAGGAGATTTTTTGGTTTTCCTGTAAATTTCCAATTTTAATTTTTCTCGATCTCTAAGTACCGCTTTCCAATATTTCAGACGTTTATCATAACTATATTCGGATGGTTGTATTTTCAAACTTGAACATTGTGAGGAGGATATATCACAAATGCCCTTGCGATCTTCGAAAATATTGTCGATCAAGTGGTTGACCAAACGGAGATTGTGTTCAACATTGACCGATTGATGTGTGGCCAGCGAGTCCAAGGAAAAGGCATTTATTTTGGATAAATCCGTTTGGGCTAGATTTTTTAGTTTCGACATGATTTGAAAAAAAAAAAATAATTTCAAAATTGACTTTTTTATGTTTTTAAAAAAATAATTTTTGAAAGTCTCATCATTTTTTTAAAAATATATTTTCAAAGCGTGGATTTTTTAAAAATATTTTTAAGGCGTGGATTTTTTAAAAATACTTTTTCAAGGCGTCGATTTTTTAAAGAATATTTTTTAAGGCGTGGATTTTTTTAAAAATATTTTTTTGAAGGCGTGGATTTTTTAAAAAATATTTTTTCAAGACGTGGGTTTCTTAAACATATTTTTTCAAGGCGTGGGTTTCTTAAAAATATTTTTTTTATGGCGTGGGTTTTTTAAAAATATTTTTTCGAAGGCGTGGATTTTTAAAAATATTTTTCGAAGGCGTGGGTTTTTTAAAAATATTTTTTTCAAGGCGTGGATTTTTTAAAAATATTTTTTTGAAGGCGTGGGTTTTTTAAAAATATTTTTTCATGGCGTGGATTTTTTAAAGACATGGATTTTTCAAAATATTTTTTGAAAACGTGGATTTTTTAAAAATATTTTTTTCAGAGCTTGGATTTTTTAAAAATATTTTTTCAAGGCTTGGATTTTTTAAAAATATTTTTTCAAGGCTTGGATTTTTTAAAAAAAAAATTTTCAAGGCGTGGATTTTTTAAATTTTTTTTTTTTGAAGTCGTGGATTTTTTTTTAAAGTATTTTTTCAATGCGTGGACATTTTAAAATATTTTTTCAAGGCGTGGAAATTTTAAAATATCTTTTCAAGGCGTGGAATTTTTAAAAACATTTTTTAAATGCCATAGCAGTGGATTTTTTGAAAATATTTTTTAACCAAATTTTTTTAGACCTGCCATAGGAGTGGTTTTTTTAAATATTTTTGCAAACGTCTTTCATATATGTGGATTTTCTAAAAATATTTTAAAATTTAAAAAAAAAATTCAAATGACCTAAATAATTATTTGATTATTATACCCCACTTTTATTACAATATTGTACTCTTATTACATAATATTACATGTTATATAAATATATATTTTTGGTTTCTAATTTCATTACTCCTCTCTTTTTAAGAAATTTCCTCTCCTATTTTTTCTCCTGACTCAATAATGGTATGATATTCTCCAAAAACCATTTCTTATCAAATTGTAAATGATCACCTTCGGTAGCCAAAAATACCAGTTTCTTATTTATGTCCATTTGTCTGAGAGCCAGCTGTAAGATATGAAAAAAAAATATTTTTAAATTTGAATAAAAATTGAAAAAAAGTAATTAATTGGAGTATTGAGTGCTGCTATAAAATATTACAAAAATTCAAAATCTATACAAACCTGTTCATAAACTTTACTCTCTTTCAGTGGTAAAATTTCCTTATCCTGACCGGGTTTGTAAAATTCGAACCATTGCGATTCCTTTGGTTGGACAATTGTGTCATTTAGAAATTTCACCATAACAAACCTAAAATAAAATAAATTTAAGGCATTTTGAATTTCATTAAAAAAATAAATAAAGATATATTTATACTTGTCCAAACGATTCAAGTGCTCCGCATATACACCATTGGCAAATACTTCATTATTAATATCGGCCAAAAATGTGCTATGGGCCATATAATCCCTTTCCTTGAGCGGATCATGCCAATAGGTGGCCTGTACCAAATCCATTTGGGCCCATTCTTCATAGGCTGCCGTGTTTAGTATGCGTCGTATGTATTCACATGTTTTCGACGATAGCGAGGGACATTTGGGTAAACCGAAAACTCCTTGATGTTGGCCACCCATTGAGATTAGAACTTTCATTGGCGGTGTGGGACAACGTTGGGCCAAGGCACGTCTATAAATAAGTAATCGTTATGTATTCTATTGTTATTTTTAGATTATCACTTTACTCACAAAAACTGTCCACCCTGACTGAATCCAATGGCATTATAGCCATCTTTCAATTTCTCATCTTTAGCCAATTCCTGACAAACATAATCCAATTGTTTGTTGGGATGTATAAAGAATCCACTTTCGTAATCCATAATTAAATTATCACCAATTCTCAATGACTTGACATAGGTTTGATTGAGTTCCTGTTCCAATAATTTCTTAATGGAGCCCAGACTGAATGGGAAACAACAAGTGTCTCCTGTAATATAAATGCAAAATTTGGATTTAATTAAATAATTTATTTATCCAAATATCTATCAATTTACCCATTCCATGCCACATAACCACAGGATAATTTTCGCCATTTGTTGTTGTTACTTGATTAACAAATATTATTAACAAGAATGCCAGAAATATATTCCAATTCATTTGTTAATTTAATTTAAACCCTTTCTTATCACTAATCGAACAAAGAAAGCCAACAATTGTCTCGAACTATTGACCGGTACGATACCCAACTCAGTTGTGATTGCCTTTGTATTTTCAAAACAAAAAAAAAAATGCAAAAATGAAGAAAACAGCTGATGTGAACATATGGTTTCCTTTGTAAACACCATGGCCGGTAATAATAAGGTCGTCCGATAAGGCCAGATCAAAAAATATTTTTTAAAAAATCCAAGCCTTAAAAAATATTTTTTATAAAATCCACGCCTTCAAAAAATATTTTTAAAAAATCCAAGCCTTAAAAAATATTTTTAAAAAATCCAAGCCTTAAAAAATATTTTTTAAAAAATCCACGACTTCAAAAAATATTTTTAAAAAAATCCACACCTTCAAAAAATATTTTTTAAAGAATCCACGCCTTCAAAAAATGTTTTTAAATAATCCACGCCTTCAAAAAATATTTTTTAAAAAATCCACGCCTTCAAAAAATATTTTTAAAAAATCCACGCCTTCAAACAATATTTTTAAAAAAAAACACACCTTCAAAAAAAAATTTTTAAAAAATCCACGCCTTCAAAAAATATTAAAAAAAAAACCGCGCCTTCAAAAAATATTTTTTAAAAAAATCACGCCTTCAAAAAATATTTTTTAAAAAATTCACGCCTTCAAAAAATATTTTTTAAAAAATCCACGCCTTCAAAAAATATTTTTTAAAAAATGCACGCCTTCAAAAAATATTTTTTAAAAAATGCACGCCTTCAAAAAATATTTTTTAAAAAATCCACGCCTTGAAAAAATATTTTTTAAAATATCCACGCCTTGAAAAAATATTTTTTAAAAAATCCACGCCTTCAAAAAATATTTTTAAAAAATCCACGCTTTCAAAAAATATTTTTTAAAAAGTCCACGCCTTCAAAAAATATTTTTTAAAAAATCCACGCCTTGAAAAAATATTTTTTAAAAAATCCACGCCTTGAAAAAATATTTTTTAAAAAATCCACGCCTTGAAAAAATATTTTTTAAAAAATCCACGCCTTGAAAAAATATTTTTTAAAAAATCCACGCCTTGAAAAAATATTTTTTAAAAAATCCACGCCTTGAAAAAATATTTTTTAAAAAATCCACGCCTTGAAAAAATATTTTTTAAAAAATCCACGCCTTGAAAAAATATTTTTTAAAAAATCCACGCCTTGAAAAAATATTTTTTAAAAAATCCACGCCTTCAAAAAATATTTTTAAAAAATCCAAGCCTTGAAAAAATATTTTTTAAAAAATCCAAGCCTTGAAAAAATATTTTTTAAAAAATCCACGCCTTGAAAAAATATTTTTTAAAAAATCCACGCCTTGAAAAAATATTTTTTAAAAAATCCAAGCCTTAAAAAAATGTTTTTTAAAAAATCCACGCCTTGAAAAAATATTTTTTAAAAAATCCACGCTTTCAAAAAATATTTTTTAAAAAATCCACGCCTTGAAAAAATATTTTTTAAAAAATCCACGCCTGGAAAAAATATTTTTAAAAAATCCACGCCTTGAAAATTTTTTTTAAAAAATCCACGGCTTGAAAAAATATTTTTTAAAAAATCCACGCCTTGAAAATTTTTTCTTTTAAAAAATCCACGCCTTGAAAAATAAAAAATCCACGCCTTTTTTTCTTAAAAAATCCACGCCTTGAAAATTTTTCTTAAAAAAATCCACGCCTTGAAAATTTTTTTTTTAAAAAATCCAAGCCTTGAAAAAATATTTTTTAAAAAATCCACGCAAAAATATTTGAAAAAATATTTTTTAAAAAATCCACGCCTTGAAAATTTTTTCTTTTAAAAAATCCACGCCTTGAAAAATATTTTTAAAAAAATCCACGCCTTGAAAATTTTTTTTTTAAAAAATCCAAGCCTTGAAAAAATATTTTTTAAAAAATCCACGCCTTGAAAAAATATTTTTTTAAAAAATCCACGCCTTGAAAAAATATTTTTTTAAAAATCCACGCCTTGAAAAAATATTTTTTTAAAAATCCACGCCTTGAAAAAATATTTTTTTAAAAATCCACGCCTTGAAAAAATATTTTTTAAAAAATCCACGCCTTGAAAAAATATTTTCTAAAAAATCCAAGCCATGAAAAAATATTATTTTAAAAAATCCACGCCTTAAATTTTTTTTAAATCCACGCTATCAAAAAATATTTGAAAGATCCACGGTATAAAAAATTTTTTGAAAGATCCACGATATAAAAAATATTTTTAAAAAATCCACGTCTTCGAAAAAAAATATTTAAAAAATTCACGCCTTAAGAAATAATTTTAAAATATCTTTAATCCTACTGATTTTCGGCTAAAAAATATTTTTAAAAAATCCACGCCTTATGATTGTCAGCTAAAAACAATATTAAAAAAAAAAATCCAAGACCTCAAGACTTAGCCCATAAGCCAAAAAATATTTTTTAACTACTAAATATTTGTCTTGAAAAATCTACAAATTAAAAAATGTTATTTTAAAATCCCCTGAAAAAATCATTAAAAAATTGTTGGATAATATTTTTAATAAAGATCCATGCTTTTTATAAATGTTGGCATGGTTAACTTCCAATTGTAACAGATTAATCTTTTCAAAGTAATTGAAGTCATGTGGACTAACTAGAAAAGTGTCTGATGGTTCATTTTAGTGAACCCATTTGATGTTCATTTCTTCTATCTTCTAAACAAAAAATACTTTTCGGTCGTTACGCTTTACACTCATTCGTAAACAATTCGAGTCCGTCGGCAATTTTGTGTGTAGTTCCCTTTTTTATCAGCCATTCTTTCCAGTATCTTTCTATTCGTAGCATGTGGAACGTTTTTTTGGTTGGTTGGCCAAAAGGTGTAACAAAATTGGGTTTTGGATGGATATGATTGATTGGAGGACCAGATATAGGATAACTTCATATATCTGCGTATTTTTTAACCATAATAACTGGAAAATAACAAAAGTTGCATTCAGTTGAAGGGGTCTCTCACCAAAACACCCCGATCATGACCGAAACAAAACCCCTTCTGTGTCGTCTGTGTTTGAAATCGTGTGAAGGACATTTGGAATATCTGTGTGATGGCTATGGTCAGCATAATGAAAAATACTCAATCACTATTGAATATTTTGATTCCATGCTCTTTCAAGTGGATG